TATTGCACCAAAAACCAGACATTTGCAGCTAGAATAGTCATTTGCCACATTAGCAATAGATAGAGTGTATTTCTTTAAAGTTAAGACTAGTTTAAAGTTATCTTCATTGAAAAGTACAGAGCTTTTCCTTAAAAAATGACATTTCAATGTGACCCCAAACTTTAGAACAGTAGTATATATATATATATATATATATATGTATATATATTTATTTTTGATCACAATCTTGGTAGAATTCCTGCTCCTAATTCCTGTGGGTCGCTCTGTCAGTTAAAGGCATGTTTTACAGTCTCTCTGCTCCAGTTAACCATTAATTACTAAATTAGTTGACGATTATTTCAATAATCAATTAATCTAATTGTTTCAGCTCTAATTTATTTTCTAAATCTGATTTTATTCTCTTTATATGCTAAATATTAAAATATTTAAAGTATATATATAATATATATAAATATTTAAAGTATTTCTGATCTGATAAATGACCTGAAACATCTTCCTGTTTCTTATGAAACCGTCCTTCTGTGTGAAACAGCGCCCTCATGTGGCCAAACTGAGCTCCAACTAAACCTCCATCAGAACAGAGACGTTCTGTAGAGAATTTGTTTCGTTTCAGGGATGATGGGGATTTAAAAACTAGAATGTTTTCGTCTAAAAGCCGTTGGATCAGTTTGGACCCATGAGGGCGTCCTCCATCGTTTCCTGTCTGAACCGCCAGCAGGGCTCGTGGCGTTGGAACAGGGCTGAAGACTTACCGTAGGCGTCTTCGTCCGGCTCGCCGTTACTCGCCGAGTAATACTCGATGACCGTCCTGTAGACGCTGTAGCCCAGACGTTTGTACATGTTCACCGCCACCTGGTTGGACACCCGAACAAACAGGTCCACGAAGAATCCGCCCTTCCTGCAGAACAGAGAACCAATCAGAAGCGTCGTCCCGCGCTCCGGCTCCGACCTCAAAGACTCCAGCAAACCTCTCTGAGATCTCCTCCAGCATCTCCATGAGTTTGGCGGCGAGGCCGAGGCGTCTGAACTCCGGAGCCACGGACAGAGCCGTGACGTGACCGTGCCACTCCTCCCGGGCCACGGATCCCTCCGCCTTCCCCATAACTGAACCAGAACAGGCAGTCAGACAGGATCCCACCAGGAGAAGCTAATCCTAGTTCAGATGGAGGGACTTACTGTAGCCCATCAGCTCGCCGCCCGGCGCCTCGGCAACGATGAAGTACTCGGGCCAGTGGGCCAGGTACTGCAGGTAGAACGGGATCCCATACTAGAGCAGAGCGGTTAGGGAGAACTGGGAATCAGAGCGATGCTGGGAAAGTATTCACACCCAACTAACTTCTAAAGGGGAAAACTGTTATACAGTCTAAACAGAAGAGATCAAAGAATTACTGGCTTTTAGAATCCGTTCCCCTGAGTCAGGACTTTTAAAACCCTAGTCCCACAGCATGAGGCTGCCACCACCATGTTTCACTGTGGGCTGATGCGCAGAGTTCAGCCTTACATCATTTGATTCCAGTAGTTTTTTTTCCTTTCACTTTACACTTAAAATTCTCCTAAAAAAAACATTTCAGGTAAAATGGATTTAAAAAACTTTTCAGGAAATATTAAAAACAATCTATTTCTACTCATTTTATGATCTAATTCTGCCTGAACATGAATAGAAATAATAAAGATCCTTTATTCTTATTATTCTCATGGTGGAGAAGGATACCGTCTCTGTGAGTGGATCCAAATTTCTGGGAAAAAAACAAAAAAAAGACAGGTTTAAAATTAATCATTTAGTCGCTTATTAAAAACAGTTAATGATCTGAACAGATTAGGAACAATTTAAGAGAAAAAACAACAAATATAGACAAACATTTAATTACTTAATTTAAAAATTCCATAAAAAGTTAATTTCTTTAATATAGAAAAAAGATGGATGGAGGATGGATGAATGGATGGATGATGGATGATGGACAGTAATTGATCACAGCCAGTCAGATGAAGCTTCCCATGAATCACTGGATGCAAAAACCATGAAGTCTGTATAAAACTGGGAGGATTAACAACTGAAAGACCACAACTTTAGAAACTACGGAAGCCCGCAGCAGTCTTTCCTGATTAGCCTTTATTTGGTTCTTTGTTTTGTCCTAATCTGCCGCTTTGTTTGGGTGATTTATTTAGCATTGTTAATATTGATAAATCAGTTTTTATGTAAACTGCCCAGTTCTATTAGTCAATAAATTAAAAAACAAACAGTTAATGATCATTAATCCCTGAATTAACTCCTTTAGAGGAAGAGAAACGGCAAATAAAGCGTCATTCATAAACTACAGACAGTTAAAGAAAGAGTTTAACTTTTATGCTTAATTTAGTAAAGAATAACATCAAACTAAGCAAACAATAATCCGGATTATCCTGCTGAATAATTCAGAATCAATCTGAACGATCAGTTTTAATCAGTCGGTCGGTGTCTGAGCGTTCGGCTCCGGATTAAACCCCGAACTGGACCGGAACACAGAAGGGTTCATATCAGACGGAACCAGGCGGTTCTGACTCACATGTTGTTGAATTTAAAGAGATCATCGCAGGTAAACGGCCGCAAAGAAGTCATCTTCCTCCTGCTGCTGCTGCCTTCACTGAGGAAGAGGAGGAGCTCAAACAACAAGAGCAACAACCGGTAGCTCCCC